ATGGTATTTCCCTGTGGTCCCAGAGAATAGCAGTGCACACGTGGCCAGGCCCGTGGTCTCCCTTACAATTGGATGAGGACACGGAGTGTCCGGAGTCCGCGGTGTGGGACTGAGCCACTAACCAGTTTCACTGTAAAGAAAGGGTATTTTTTTCTCTCTTTTTCTTGTTTATTATCATTTTGGGGGTGGGTTTCAGCAGGGGGAGCGTTCTGGAAATATGCACCAATTCTACCATATTTCCAAGTAGTGTGAATTTAATATTCAGGCTGGAGTCTTACTTAGGTCGATTGACCTAGAGAAAGTTTTTTAAAATAAATTGTTAGATGTAAATTAAACTGTTCTGTTTATTCTTTAAAGCATTTCCTTTGCGGTTGGAATTAAAACAGTACAGTTATCTTGGGAGATAATATAGGATAGTATTGTGATAAGAGGCTGGAAACCTAGCTCTGCTCTTATGCTGTGTGACATTGGGCAAGTCACTTACCCTCTCTGTGCCTGGGATCACCTTCTCTGTAAAATAGGGACGGTAACTATACCTTCCATATGGGGGCGCTGTGCGGATCACGTGCGTTGCTATAGACAGCCTTCACAACAGGGCCCAGCGCGGGATGTATCCTGATTCATGGACCTGAGCGTTGGTGTCTGTGAACAATTCTAGAAAATTCCTTTTTTTTTTAAAAGATTTTATTTATTTATTTGACAGAGAGAGACACAGCGAGAGAGGGAACATAGCAGGGGGAGTGGGAGAGGGAGAAGCAGGCTTCCTGCTGAGCAGGGAGCCCGATGCGGGGCTCGATCCCAGGACCCTGGGATCATGACCTGAGCCGAAGGCAGACGCTTAACGACTGAGCCACCCAGGCGCCCCCAACAATTCTAGAAAATTCTTTGCTCTACGTTGCTTTAAATATGATCTCTTCCCCATTCTATTCAACCTTCTCAGGACTCACAGCACGTCTTTTATTTTTCCATCTCTGTCTCTGGAGGGTCTCCTGGATGACTTCTTTGGTTCTACGCTTCAGTTCCCTGAGATTCTGATGCTCTCCGTCGCGACGCTCTGTAATCCATTCGTGATGGAGACAAGCGGCTGTGCACAGTCACCCATCCTCTGCTTCTTCCGTATCAGTTGTATTGTAGATGGACACACGGCTCTTCAGCCCTACGGCCCTTCCCGCGCTCCTTTGTGGTTGGGCGTGGCCGTGGGACTAAGTCCTCCGTAGAGTGAGTGGAGGTGGTCGGCACCACTCAACGCACAACGTGTCTCTCCCGTACTTTTTCTCCCTCTCCGCAGCTGGGATGTTGTTCAAAGAATTGTCTGCGGAACACAGCAGGTGCAAAAACTGTCCCCGCTTTGCAATGGGATTAGTTAAAAAATAGAGAAGCGTTTAGATATTTATAGCAATTCAGCCCTCTCACAATACCCGAGCATTCTGGTAATTCTTCTTTATCTTCTTCCCCCTCTTTCTCCTTCACTTCCTCCTCCTCTTTCCTTCTTCCTCCTCCTCTTTCCTTCTTCCTCCTCCTCTTTCCTCTTCCTTCTTCTCCTCCCTCCTCCTTCCTCCTCCTCCAACTCCCCCTCCTCCCTCTCCTTCTTTTTATTTTTTATTTTTTGTATTTTAAAAAAGTAATGGTCCAGAAAGAATCGAGGGGGAAGAAAACTGTCCTGTCACCTGTGCCTGTGGCCGGATGAGGGTGATGGCCCAGGGGGTGGGCTGAGCAACAAGATGGAAGGAACCTGTGTCCTTGAATGACCCCCAGGGGCAGCACTGCCTGCCAACCTGGAGTGCTCACTCCAGACCATTACACGAGAGGGAAATGAAGCACCGTCTCTTTTAACCCACAGAACTTTGTCAGATCCCTTCCTGTGACCTTCAAGCCTTACCCCATGGCATGTCCATCATGTTTTAAATTCCAATTATTATACATTTACTTCTAAAAATCATGTTTGGTTCTTTCTCAAATCTCTTTCATTGTTGTTGTTGTTGTTGTTTAATAGATTCTCATTCCTTGATCATATTTACAAGCCTCTGTTGTTTTTAAATCATACATTTGTTAAAATAAAGTCTTGTTTAAGCACCAAGATAGAACAGATATAAACTTTCAAACAGAGGTGATAAATTGCCATATGCAGATATTCATCAGGAATTTCTGAGAACTTGTTCTCCAACATTTTGAGTCTTTCAATGACTTTGAGAATATAAAAGGATTAAGAGAGCAGAGGAGAGAAAAGATTTCAGGGAGAAGACACCTCTTTAGGGAAACTGATATTGAGCGCTTTGTCCTCTCTCCCCGCCCAAGTGGTCCAGCGTCAGAGTTGGTGGAGGGCAGAGCCCTTTGGGGACAGCTGATGTCTGGGTAGATTCTGTCTCATTAGTTAAAAACCGGTTGCAAATATCTTGCTTCTGCTTCTCTCTCCTTTAATTGGCAGAGATGGGAAATCATAGAAGTTGCACACGTTCATTTCTCAGGGCTTCCCTAACAGAGTACAATAGACCGGTGCCTTGAAATGACAGAAATATATTGTGTCACAGCTCTGGAGGCCAGGGGTCCAAATTCAGGGCATCGGCAGGGCTGTGCTCCCTCTGAAGCCTCAAGCAAAGGATCTTCCTTGTCTCTATCAGCTTTGGGGGGCCCCAGGCTTGCCTTGACATGGGGTGGTATCACTCCAAGCTCTGCCCGCGGCTTCACCCGGCGGTCTTCCCTCTGTGTCTGTGCCTCCCTATGTTGTTCTCTGTGTGAGTCCATGTCCACACTCCCCACTTCTTATACTGACCCCAGTCATCCTGGATTAAGGGCTCACCCTACTCCAGACCGACCTCATCTTCACCGGTTACCCCTCTGACAACCCCATTTCTAGATAAGGTCACCTTCAGTGGTCCTGGGGATTAAGACTTCAAGATATCTTTTTTTGGGGGGGGGCGCAATTCATCCGTAACATAGGGAGACATGGTAAAGGATGTGGGGAGTCACAAAACGGCCGGGAAATTCATCTCTCAGCTTCTGCTTCCTGTAATCCCTGCTTCTGTCTGCCTCAGTTGGTCTAGGTCCTGAAGACTGCCTCCCACTCCCTCACCCCGATGACACGTCCCTGGTCTCCAGGGGCAATCCTGCCCGCCTCCCCACCCAGCCCCACACCTTGGCTGGGCACGCAGACAAAGTCACGGCCCTGACCCTCCTTCCACTCCCAACAGGACACATACCCCGCTTCTTTGGCTTCCTTCCCAGCACAGAGTGAACCCTCACATGTCCAGAAGGCTTACCCTTGAGTGCCCTTCCTCCCTGACCTCCCTGATCAAACCATCTGCCGGTTGCTGGGTCCCAGCCATCTGCTCAAGGCCCGCTTCCATGTCTCAGAGCTTGTGAGCCCTGAGGACACCACAGGGATGGGAGTGTTCTCACGGTGGATCCTGGGACCATCAATGACTTTCCATCACGGCTGGTATGGCAATGATACGTGTTCACCAAAAGCCCAGGGACCCAGTGTTTGTGGAGGGGAACGATGGAACTGTTGGAGGACCATTTCATGTTAGAAAATCTCCATGTGGAATGTCTGAGATTCCACTGGGGACCAGAGTTTAGATGTCCTGCCTGATAAATCCTTTGTGTGTCTATAAAGTCACTGGTAGAAGGTGTTCCCAGTGTATTAGAGAAAAACTATGTCAAGCTTTTAGCTCAGGTTAACCCCTGGCGTGAGGATTAACTTCCTTCCATGGTATTTCTCAGAGAAGATGCCTCCCAGAGGAGGAAAGACATATATTAGGATGGCGAGAGCTTTGGGCCAAGTGTTGGGGAGACCTCCCTTCATTTTGGGTTTCTTGTCTGCAATATGAAAAGGTGAGCCTATTCACAGAATCTTTTTAGCCCTAACATTCCGATTATTTAAAAAAAATCAAAACTATTATCTTTTATTTTTAAAGCGTAAGTAACAGTTTTTAACAGCACTATAAAATCAAAACATTTTAAAGTGTATTACACCTCAAACCTTTTAAATATCTGCACCTCAATTCAATATTTACACCCTTCTGTTGCCAGCAAAACTCCAGTGACTTTTTATTTCTGCCCTAATATTCCAAATCCAGGAGAGAAACACATCTACAAATTAGTTACGGAAAATTAAAACAAAACAAAACTATATGAACCTGGAAAACTTAAAACCCTCAAACTTGATAACATTCACATTTTCGTTTCTCTCCACCCCCCAGACACACAGGCAGTCTGACAATTGTTTCATCTGGACACGTTGTCCAGATATATTTTGACCCATCCCTCTTGTGGAGCAATTCAGCCAAAACTCCCCCCCAGAAAAGCAATTCTGAATCAAACCAACTTTGTTAATGCCTCAAAGGAGAAAGAAGCATTCCTGAATGCTGCAAAAAGCCATTCGGACCTGAGACTGCCCTTCCCTTTTGCCCTAGTGAATTTAGGATTAAAATCTGGGAAAAGGTCTTCGAAGACTGTGCACCACTGTGGGTCTATATGGATAGGGCCATTCAAAGTAGTTTTTGTAACACGAGTTTCAGGGCATTTGGAAGTCTCTCAAAATCAATTCTGTGCCTTAAAAAAAAATTTATACTACCGAAGATACAATAGATGTGTGCAGAGACTAGTAATCTGGCCAGGAACTTGCACAGCCAATTTAGGACCCTGGGGGTCCGGTGGTAACGGGGAGGCAGGTGGGGTTGGCTGGTTGCTGTGGATGTTCAATGCATTTGGCATCCATTTCTCTTCCTCTCCCTGCCGATGGGCAGCCGGAAGTTCCTTTGGGAAACCCCGCCTTTGTTCAGAGCTCCAGGGCTGAGCCCCGTTTGGGGTCAGCCTGTCGAGGAAGCCCCGCCCCCTCACTCACCAGTTGGCCAATAGCTTTCCTCTGGCCGCAGGGACTGGTTCAAGAGGGCTCAGGTGGTGCAAACACCTGTCCGTCCGAGGGGCGAGGCCCTCTGTGGATGTGAACGAGGCAGCACGAAATAAAGGCCTCCCAAGTCACTCTTCGCCTGTGTATGCTTGTTAGGAGAGGGAAAGAGACGTTCACCTTCCAGCTTCCCCACCTCCCACACTTGCCAAGGAATGTGGTCCGGGATGGAGGAATTTCCACAGCTGTGCGCAGGGCGGTGCTCCGAGGGCCAGGCGTCCGCTGGGGTGGTTAGCCCATGTGGAAGACTTGGCCTTTGCAAGCCGGTCAAGGAAACTTAGAAAAAAAATAATAATGAAAGGGATGAAGGCGAGAATGGTGGGCAAAAACAAAAAAAGGGAACAGGATTTGGACGATTTCTCCTGGAGGAGAGGATTCTAAAAGCAGACGACTCACTTAGTAGCTTGGTTTTGGGGAAGACCCTCTTTCTTCCTGGGTTACCATTTGCTCCTCTGGGACATGAAACCAATTGACCCTAGGATCCATATGGTGGCTTCGAGCCCTAAATGCTGCGATTCTAGGCATCATTTTTACATGTCAGAAAAATGTTGATGCATAAGGAGGTGTGGTGGTGGTTTTCCAATTCCACTGCAGCGAGAGAAGAAAGTAGGAGAGCTGGGGTGAAGCGTCTTGACCTTGAGAGCTGTTTTGACCATAGGAGAGCGCAGTGGAGATGAGGAAATCTCACTTCCTGGAAATGGATAAAGAAATAATACATGGTTATTTTTCTGGGATGGGATAATCCTCAGAAGCCACTCCCTAAAAAGATGAATTTGAATGGCATGACGATTAACATGTTGAAATCTAACTACTGTGTTCTAAGCTCTTAAAAAAAGGTTCTTGCACACCAACAGGGAGGTCTGGGGTGATTCTGACTTGTTGGCTCTGCATTTTCAGCTGCTTGAATCCCTCGTAAAGAGGAGGTGCCCTCTAAGCCAAGCAGTGGGGTTTCTGACGGCGAGATGGGCAAAGAGTAAAATTTGGGAGAATCGGGGTGTTGTTGTTGTTGTTGTTTTTAAATTAAAACAATGCTCTAAGTTTAAAGGGCGGCAGGGAGGATCATGACCCCCCCCTCAAGATGTGCAACACCTAGTCTCAGGAACGTGTGACTATATTCCTTCCCATGGCTGAAGAGATTTTGCAGCTGGGATTGACGATTTTGAGCTCCATTTGTTACGGAGTGCTCGGATATGCCTGATGTAATCCCAAGGGTCCTTAAGGATGGAAGGAGAGGGAGAGGCAGGAGGGCCAGGAAAGATGCAACAACAGAAACAGGTTGGGGATGTTATAACTGCTGCAAGGGGCCTTAGCCGAAGACTTCAGAACCTTCTAGAACCTGGAGAGGGCAAGGACACAAGATTCTCCCTTAGAGCCCCTGGAGGTGGCGGGGCCCTGCTGACGCTTTTATTTTGGTCCTGGGAAACCCATTTTGGACTTCTGACTTCTGCATCTGTAAGATAGTCCATTCTGATTGTTTTGAGCCACTGGACCCGGTAGTAATTTGTTAAAACATTAATGAGAAGCTACTACACAGAGGAGAAGGCAGAATGGATTGATGCAGAAGAAAAATCGCTTTGGGAAGAGAAGTACTAGTAGTAGGAGTAGAGACATCATTCCTGCAAGAAGAATAGCCCTGACAGGCTAACAGTGCTTTCACGGGGCTGTGTTGGGTGGCCTGGGGGTTAACATCAGGTGGCAGGCTCCAAGGAACAGGACCCAGATTTGGGTCAGATAGAGCTGCCGAGAGTGATGTCTGGGGCAGGATGCATTTGCATGGCGTAAATGGCATTCCTGGTCACCGTGAACCTCTTTCTTTTTAATAATTGCTCCACTCCTACTCCGCCTAAAACAGAAAAGAGCACTGAACTCACACGCAGCCTGTGTCTCCCTCCCGGGCCCGGAGCAGCGGGGCGGATTTGGCTGGGCCTGGAGAGAGAAGGGGAGGAGGAGGAAGAATCCACTGGCAGATACGGGACATAGTGCACATTTGGGTTTGGGCTTCCAAGTTCAAGTCGCTGTACCCGGGGGGACCCAGTTTTCCCCTGGCCATCGGCCTTCCTCACTCGGGCCTTCCACCTGGGCTTGGGCTCGGGCTGTCGGCTCTCCGCGTCACAGGGGACAGTGTCCTTCCTGCCGCTCTCCATGCTGGGGGTGGTCCTCCGCTGTGATGGCTCCTTCCTCCCTGGATGCCCCTTCCACTCCTGGGCCTGGCCTCCCGGATTGCCCCCTGTGCTCCATGCAGGTCTCTCCCGAGAGCCCCAATTACCGCTTGCCTGTCTCTGGGTCATGTTTTGATGGTGAAAGGGTGGACTCTTTGCTTTCCACAGTGGCAGCTAGCCAATCCATTTCCTCATCTCTGTCACCGTGGTTGCTTAGGTGCTGGGCTGATTTCACAGGGCCGGGGAGAAATACAATCCGGCTTCACTGCTTCCTGCCGAAGTGGGTAAGACTGTGGCCCATGGTGCCTGCCCCCGAGGAGATGGGTATTTAAGTAGCCTTGCACGCCTCCGAGCAGAGGTTCAGTGCCCGCGGCAGAGTAGAATCATCTAAGGGACTTAAGTACTAATTCACAGGCTTCAGGCCAGTACATCAATTTCCCTCCCCCCTCCCCCTTCCCTCCCTCCTTTTTTGGGGGGATGCTGGGTATTTCTATTCAGTTACTCATTCATTAAACAGCATCGAATTAACAATTACTTATCGAGCTCCATCTGAGTGCCATGCACTGTTCAGGGCACTGGGGACAGAGTGATGACAAGACAGACCAGCCCCCCCTCCCGGTAAATTCTAGTTGAGGGGTGAGGACAGACAGTAAATAAGCAATGCAATAAAATAAATTACCAGAGTAACCTCAGATAGTAAAACATGCTATGGATGAAAGTGGGGGATGAGACGGAGAGAGACTGAGGGTCTTTCGGGACCTTAATATAGATGCTTCTGGAAGGTTCCCCGAGGAGGCCACAACGGCGCTGATACTCAGAGGACTAGAGTAAGTTCAGCAACCATGCTGAACTGTGCGGGGCAGGTGTTCGAGGCCAAGGGGACCGCAAGGCCAGCCGTCCCTGGGTAGCAAACCCATTTGGCGTTTTCCAGGAACAGAAAACAAGGCCACTGTGGCTGGAGGGATAAACTGGGTGCACAAAATTCAACCAGAGCGGGGGTGGGGGTGGGGGAGGATGGAAATAGAGTGATCTGGGTAGGGTGTAGCCTTGCTGGGAGAATGTGGTTTGCTTTCGCGGCCGCGATTTACTAACCTGGAAAAGCAGGCATCCTGCCCGCCATCCACTAAGCTACTCGTGCATCCTGAAGCCACTGGGTCCCTCTCACGTCCCCCCCCCCCACCAACCTCCTCCTGTCTCCCGGGATCCCTGTGCAGGCGGGACACATAGCATGCTCCATTCTGCTTTTCCCCAGCGCCTGGAGAAGCCCGAGCCTTCTCTCCCCTGCAGGAGGGATCTGGACTGTGGAGGGGGTGGGGGGGGGCCTGCTTTAGGACTTCCTGTGCGCCCTCCAGGAGGGTGTCATGAGGAACCAGTAGGGTGCCACCAGGCATCCGACCCCCAGGGCATGCTCAGCGAAGGTTGGTCTCCACTCCCCCCCAACAAAGGGCGGGCAGAGACAAGACACTGTCCCATCCCCACCTGGCTTTTGAATGAGAGTTAACAGAATTCGGTCTTGACGCCATCGAATCGAGCGAGAAATAATGTGCGAGTATGAGGACTTTCAAACCTGGGGCCTGGCTTCTGCTCATGCTGAGAAAATGGAAAATCCTATCCTTATCAGACACCCAGAATAGCTCGCTCCTCCCAGCTCGGCTCTCAGAGTTAATCTCGGCCCCAAGGTGGGCCTCCTCCTTCAGGGGCTCTCTGCGCTTCCTTATCAGACGGAGAGCATTGCCCCACTCCACTGGCCAACCTCAGCCGCCCTTCCCCTGAGCCAGGTGATGCACTTGTAACCTGGAAGCCCCGAGAAGGGCGATGCAGGTGTCCATGGTTATTTAACACACACGGGTCCAGCGCTGGATTCTGCATTCTGCTTCCTGCCGTGAATAGTGCTCTCCAGCGCACCCTCCTTTCCCAACAAGGAGGAACGTGCGGGGTGCGAACAATCGAGTGTTTTCCTGCCTCTAGGTGGATTGCAAGAAGTTAAAATTATCTGGGGGGTGGGGGAAGTGGTGCCCAGAGCGGTGTGGTTCTGACAGCCCGCTCGGGCGCATTGAGGTCCCTGCAAAGCACCTGCCAGGCACCTCCTCCCTGGCCCAGCGCTGAGATGAGATGTGTCCCACGTACCCGCCGTTTTGTTCTCACTACTCTGTTGCAAATGCCTCTTGCGTGTGGCCATTTGCCCATACAGATGCCGGCCACCACCTGTGGTCACATACTCGAGGTGTAACTTGTCCCGCAGGGGAGTGAACAGAAATGAGGTGGAGTGGGTTCAGCCCCGGACATAGAATCTGAACACCCCGGTTGCGAGTCGGGGCGTGCCACTGTCTAGCCCCGTTCCTTCTGCATCTTTGAACGGGAGAGAGGACCTGACCGACCTCACAGCAGAATCCAGGCCGTGCTGAACATCACGATCCCCGAACGGCCTTCATCCTTTTGTCTTCATGTAGAAAGTCATTTACACCGAAGTAGAATTGAGATGGTTGGATCATCTCAGCTGCATTTGAAAAAAAAAAAAATGCATTTGGGGACATACTTACACTAAACATTCATTCTCCATTTATCTGACATTCAAAGTGAACTGGGCATCATGTGTTTACATTTGCTAAGCCTGGCAACCCTTACCGGAGAAGAAATTCACTGCATGTTTGTTTATATTTATTAAACTGAAGGATGGCTACGTCCACTCGTGCTGGGTCTCCATTTAGAGGCAGCGTCTGAGTGTTTCCTGGGAGTTCTCAGGAAGACTGAGCTATATCTGCAGCAGGGCCAAATCTCGATATGAAACCAGAACAATTCAATCACTTCTTTGCAGTCGAGATGTTCGCACTGGCTAGACAAAATATCAAGATGTTTGGCAGGATTGCTCAATAGCTTTTGAGTTCGCCCTGTGCCTGGACAGTATCTACAAACTCAGTTCTCTGATCTCTGCTGACCCTGTGGTCCCTTCTTCCCTCCTTTTCCAACGAAGCCCGGGACATGCTACTAGAATGTTCAAGGATTCAGCTGAAGTCTGGACGTGCTTTGCATTTCGTTCATTTTTTGGCCCGAGGCTCGCATGTATGTACAGTTGTTTTACTTCAGTCTGCTGATAAAGCTCAGACTCCTGCAGACTCCTTTTGCTTCATTTCTGTTGTGCAGGAAACCCAGCAAGAAAAGTCAAGATTTTTTTGTTCTCCCCCGGAGCACAATGAACTGACATAAATCCTGTTCGTGTAATAACACTCTGACCCCGTTAGGAAGATGGATGGAGAACAGTGACTTCAAACAGCACGGGAAGCCCCTCACAGCTTAGAGCTTCTTCTGGGAAAAGGATTCATCAGTCATTCATTCGTTCATTCATTCAACCAGTTTTATGGACCCCCTCTGCCGCCTAGGAGAGAGTTGGGGGGACGAAGCAGCTAGAAACACCACCTCTCCAGTCACTTGGCCTGGGTTCTGTTCTTGGTTCTGTTGCCCATTAGGTGTGTGGCCTTGGAAATTTTCTCTTCTCTGCACCTCCATTTCTTTCCTCTGTAAGATGGGATTAATGATAGTATTGACCTGCAGAGAGTCCTTGTGAGGGTGAATGGGAATTCGTGCAACAGCTTGAGAACCACGTCTGACATTCAGTAAGTGCTTCATCAGTGTTAGCTGTGGATGCGTAGCTGGATGCGTAGCTGTGGAGATAATTTGATCTCAGAATGGGTGGGCTCCTGTCCGCAGAAGTAAAATTCGGAGTTATTGTTTGACAAACCCGATTCCAAGTCATGGCAGGGGAGCCTCATCCTGGGTCTCAGAATGACCCGTGATCTTGGTCCCCTTGGCTAGCAGTTGGTTGGTCTGGGGATGGCCCTGACCCAGAGTTCTGGCTAATGAGATACAACTGGATACCTTCTTGCTGAGACCTCTGGAAAATCTTTGGCTTTCCTGATTAGGAGACAGACAGTTGGCCTGGAACACCGTTAGGGGGATGGCTGGAGGTTCAACAACCATTTGGTGACCCTGAGGTTACAACATGAGGACGAAGGCCAAGATGCTAAGGTGGATAAAAAAACAGAGATAGAAAGAACCCAGGTCTCTCGAAGGGTGTATTTAAGTAACTCCCCCAGGTCACCTACCTCCAGACTTCCTACTACGTGAGGAAAATTATTTCTCAAACTGCTGTGATCACCTTTTTATCGCTCACAGCTAAGTGGATTTTTCACTGATGGGGCCAAAAAGGCAAAAATGTAGTCTCTTTCTTCCCAGAATCCTAGCCAGATGAAGGAAAAAACACAGTGGATCCCGGTACGATAAAATTTCCTAGCAGAGTAACCAAAGTGCTTTGTGCACACAGAAAAGGAACATTTAGCGGGGGATGGGGTATCTCACTGGATTGTAAAGACAGAGGTCTGCCCCCTCTGAAGTAGACTCGACCCCAATGCACAGACCTGCCATCCATCACCCGGTTCTCAACCAGAATGCATTCCATAGAAAGGAGAGTTTCCCCACCTTAAGGACCGATGACGACCATATGATCTGTGCTTCCAGAGTCAGTGCTGACACGGCTGGTGTCCCCCTCTTGGCCCCAGCTCCCAGGCTGTTGAGCCTCACTCTGTGGCCTGGATCTTGCTGCTCTGCTCTTTCTCCACTTACACTGAAAACCTGCCTCAGTTGCTGACTCTCTGTGACCTAATAAGAGATATATATTTGGTCTCTGCCCCCTGGACACAGAGCTCCTAAAACTCTGGCAATTTCCAGAGTGATGGGGGTAACTAGGGAGCATCTTTTGCTCTAACATTTGGTCTTTGACCCTGGTTCCTGACACAGAGCTCCTAAGCCCCTTGGAATGTCCTGGGAGAGTCTTTTGTTTTAAGGAGGTAACTCCTGGGGGGCTCCTGGATGCCTCCAGGAGGGGGCCTGGTCACCAGAAAGACCAAGCCATGATTAGAAGCTTGGGACTTTCATCCCCACCCTCATCATCCCTGGAGGGAAAAGCCAGTGCTGATTGAGTCAATAACCAATCCTGCCTACATGGTGAAGCCTCCATTAAAAAAAAAAATCCCTGAACTCCAGGCTCCAGAGAGCCTGTGGTTGGTGAATGCATCCACGTGCTGCACCCCAACAGCATGAGACAGAAGCTCCTGCCCTCGGGACCCTTTCACACCTCACCCTTTTCTTCTGGCTGTTTCCCTGAGTTGTGTGAGCTGCTCTAGCAAATTATCAGACTTGAGGACAGGGTCAAGGGAATGCTGATTTTATAGCCCGTTGGTCATTAAGTACAGGTGATCGCCCGGGACGTAGGCCAGCATCCAAGGTTTTACAGGACCATGCCCTTGACCCGTGGGGTCCACGCTCACTCTGGATAGTTAGTCTCAGAAATGAGTTGACTTGCTGGGCACCCAGTTGGTGTCTGGAGAGTGGGAGACTGGGTTGGCGTGGGGAAATCTCCCAGGTGTTTGGGGTCGGAAGTGTTGTGAGTAGAGAAGATAAACAACATGATTGTTTGTACCATCTGTTTCTCCTGCCTACCTCCGGCCCACCGTCCTTTCTGGGAGAGCTATCTGTATCTCGTTTGGGTTAAAGACGAAGACACAGGATTGGTAGAGAGGAAGGGGATGGGCTGGGGCCCGAGGACAGCACCGCCAGCATCCTAGAGGCAAAGGTGAGCAGAGAAGTTGGTTAGAGAGGGTGGGCTGAGGAGGAGAGGGTGACAGGCATGTGGAGGGGCTGGTGGAGGACAGGTTTGGTCTAGGAACGGCCCTGACCCAGAGTGCCAGCAGGGAGTTCAGCAACAGCATGCCTGGCATCAGGGTGCCCCATGAGGTCCTGAAATGAGAGAGTGATGGTTTGGGCAGTTGGGGGTAGGCTGGCTGGAAATATGTAGTATTGATTAAAAAATCAAGGGAAACAGTTAAAGATTTGCAGTTTTTTTTTTAACGATTTTATTTATTTATTTATTTATTTATTTATTTATTTATTTATTTGAGACAGACACACAGAGAGAGAGAGAGAGAGCAAATTAGGGAGGAGGATCAAGGGAGAGGGAGAAGCAGACCCCCACTGAGCAAGGAGCCCAATGTGGGGCTCGATCGCAGGACCCTGAGGTCGTGACCTGCGTTGAAGGCAGACACTTAACTGACTGAGCCACCCAGGCACCCCCAGATTTGCAGTTATTAAACAAAAGAAGAATATTCCAGGAAAAATGTCAGGCATAATTGGCCACTTCAAGGTCGATGTGGACGCTGGACACCTGACTGAATTACTTCGGGGTTGCATTGCAACATAAGCTTTGCCGACAGAATTCACCAGTAAGTTTCTGCTAAAAGCAATTGACTGGAAAGCATAAGCCTCAGTCAGGAGATGTCTTAGCTACACAATTTACTTATTTTTCACTCAACCAGGAAGCAGTTTCTGTCTGAGAGACAACCTATGGGAAGATTTCCCCTTGCTGCCCTGACCTGTCTCTCTAGTAAGAGAAAATTGACTCACATGGGAAAGTTAGAGGTATGGTATTGTACAGCAGTTCCTATGAAAATGTTTAATCTTTTCTTAAAGAGTTAGCTGTGTGTCTGGTATGTGTATTAACTCAGTTAAACACCCGAGAACTTCTATGAGGTTGGGACTACCGTTAGCCCCATTTTGCAGATGGGGGGTACTGAGGCTCAGAGAGGTGAGAAGTCACGGGGTAGGGGAGTGTCCTTGGCTATGAAATGGCAAGGCAGCATTTGAATCCATGCTACACGATCTGTGATGCTTAAGCATGATACTATGCCGCCTCTCATATTTTAAGCGAAATGGCCAGAGAGGATGACCAGGTCCCTAGGGTGTCCGGCAGACACTTTGGGGTCTGGAGTCAATGGAACACCAAAAGGGGAAAATGTCCATGCTCTCCATCCTGGTATTACTGGTGCGATGCTGGGTTGCAACTTGGAATTTTGGGGCAGCATGAGCCCTACTGATGAGCAGAGCCTGGGGAGCCTGGTGGGGTGATCACATCCCAGGGTGAGGGATTGCCCCCTAGGCACTGATGGAGCCTCTAGAGAACTGTATAGCTTTCCCTAAAAACAAAACAAAACAAAAACTGACCAAACAGTTGGGGGGAAAGGCCTAAATCCAAAAGGGATATCACATGAAATTTATGAGAGTTTTCTAAAATAGTAAAAAGCCATGTTAAGACCTGATGGACCCTGAAACTTTTTTTTTTTTTGAGAGAGAGAGAGAAAGTGTGTGCACTCACGAGTGGGGGGAGGGGAGAGGGATAAAGAGAGGGAAACAAAGCTCAAGCAGACTCCCCGCTGAGCACAGAGCCCCAGGCAGGGCTTGATCCCACCACCCTGAGATCATGACCTGAGCCAAAATCAAGAGTCGGACACTTAACCATCTGAGCCACCCAGGCGCCCCTCAAGTGCATCTTTAGCAGGCAAAATTCCTTTGTGTCTCTATGGTCAAGGATCACTCGCTGTACTTACAGAGGGGTAAAATAGCTCAGTGACCGTGCATGGCACAGATCCTTGTAGAGACAAGGAAGAGAACGGGTGTCCTTAGTGTTTGATTGAAAGGACACTCACAAAACTCATTTGCTTATTTCAAAGTTCTTTCACAATTTTTCCTGACAGTTGAATGTATGTGCTGAATCAGAATGTGGGTTTCAGGCAGGAATCAAACAACTATATTCTTAGTGATTGAAGATTATGATGAAAAACGAGTTGGCTGTAATTAGTGGGATCACATGGCTAGCGGGAGAGGAAAAAGCGCGTCGTGTTAAAGCAGGCTTCTGCTAGCAGGCGTGTGCGTGGGAGCAAACAGGTTAGTGCTGACAGCCAGGGAATCGTGGGGAGGTGCATTCGGTGTCAGCAGGGGCAGAAGAGTGTCTCAGTTGTCCGGGGGCCCATGAGATGTCAGTTTTGATATGAGCGTGCCAGAAATCCTACACTTTTCGTAAGTGATTTGGGATTGGCCTTGAGGAAAATTGGCAGAGGAAGAAAAAGAAAAAAGAAAACACTTATTAGAACAAGTTAGGTGTTGGGTTGCTAAACCGGAACTGATTTTGGTCTGATGTTCCTACATTTTCATTCTTTAATAGGGGAAGCCCAAATGGTGATTTTATGCTCCCGAGCCTCACCAGGTGTGTAGAGCCATGCACCTCCATCTTTAGTCACTACCCTTAAGTCATGGATCAAAGTGCCATAAGGCAGTCACACCTCCCATCCCCATGAGCACCTAAGGCACAGCCTGTAGAAGAAGTTCTCGACCTAAATGTCCCCTGTGTCTGTGGTTATAATCGTAACCATTTCCCCCTTTAACCTTTCCTTTATACTTTTAATTTTGGAACAAGTTTTAGGTTGCATAGCAATTGTAAAAATACAGAGAGTTTCTGTATGCCTCTCACCCAGTTTCTTGCATTACTGTGGTGAATTTGTCAAAACTAAGAAACCTTACTCTTGGGGCACCTGGGTGGTTCAGTCGGTTGAGCATCCAACTCTTGATCTCAGTTCAGGTCTTGATTTCAGGGTCGGGAGTTCAAGTCCCATGTTGGGCTCCACACTGCGTGTGGACCCTACTTAAAAAAAAAAACAAAAAACGAAAGAAACCTTACTGTTAACTAAACTTGAGTCGTTATATGGATTTCCACTCTTTTTCCATTAACGTTCCTTATTTCAGGATCTCTTTCTATTCATGGTACCACATTGCAGTGAGTTTTCGTGTCTCCCGTGAAACCTGTGGTCTCTGATAATTCTGTGCTCTGTGATAATTTCTCATTCATTTCTTGTTTTTAATGGCCTTGAGAGTTTGGAAGAGTACTGGCTGGGTATCCTGCAGAATTTCTCCCAACTGGGGTACCTGATGCCCCTGGGAATGTGAACCCTCATCACTTGATGGAGATGTATTTGCAAGTTCCTCCACTGTAATGTCTCTGTTTTCCCTTTCTCTTCTCTATTCTTTGGAATTAAATCACTAAATCGATTTGTAATTCCTACCACCATTCTCTAGAAGGGTTTGGACATTCTTTTTTTCTTTTTTCCAGGAAAGTTCTAAAGAATCCTTTCAAAAAACCCCTCTGGGCCTAAACTCTTTTTGGAGATAAAAAAAAAATTTTTTTTTTAAAGTTTATTTAAGTGATCTCTAAACCCGGGATGCCTGGGTGGCTCAGTTGTTTAAGTGGCTGCCTTCAGCTCAGGTCATGATCCCAGGGTCCTGAGATCAAGTCCTGCATCGGGCTCCCTGCTCAGTGGGACGCCTGCTTCTCCCTCTGCCCATTGCTCACTCTCTCTGACAAATAGATAAATAAAATCTTAAAAAAAATAAGTAATCTCTACACCCAACGTGGGGCTTGAACTCACGACCCCAAGATCAAGAGCTGTACACTCCACCGACTGAGCCAGCCAGGCACCCCTGGAGATACATTTTTAAGAAACTTTTCCAAAACTTTTTCTGATTATTTGTCTGTAACGGTCTCCTACATCTTCTATTGTCAGAATTTGGGGTAATGCAAAAAAGGAAAATGATCCATTTCATTGTGATTTTGAGATTTGTTAGATAGTGTTTTGCCTCGCATTTTCTACTCTTGTATATTTGGTACCTTTTTTCCCCCCTGATTTCTAACACAGATGTGCAT